CTTGTTAATGTACAATCTTTTAGCTCCTGATCTAATTTGTTCCATACATCAACCCTAACAAAAAAAAAATACAATGTTGTTTTACATTTGTTCTTGTTTTTGGTTTTCTGAACATATTATACTTGCTGAGATCATAAGCACTGTCCCGGATCAAAAACAGACTCTCAATATGTACTGGCAACAAATTATTTTTTACTTTTTACATAAATTGAGCGGTCTTAAAGTCAACCAAGTCTTTAAATTGTAAGGTTTTTAAATGTACAAAAGGTTGGTTTGTGTGCTCTCTATAATCTGCTTTATTTACAATTCGAATAACTCTCTTTAATTCTTAGACAATAAATATACAAGGCGTCATATACTCCTATCTGTGAAAACTTCTGTTCTTCAGCTTGCAATGTTTGCATTCAACAATAAAGCATCTTGGATGAGTCCACTGAAAGACTTTGAGTTTCTTACATTGGTTGAAATGTGATGGGTGGGGATGGACAGTGGGGCCATCTGCAGCACCTGCAAATCTAAACGAATCGGCTAAGGAGTCATCTAATCACACCATCTACTAGACACGTCCTTTTTATGATCTCAGGCCATGTCCGACTGGGAGGACAAATCCAGAAAGTTCTACAGGAACTAGATATCCCTTCTATGTATCCCTTTCCTAAGTCAGAAGCTGTGAATTTAGCTTTAAATGAAAACTAAATTCACAGTGGGATGTCTGACCCTCTGGATGCTGCACATCAGTTGTGTACAGAGTGTAATCTGAGACTAGGAGTATTAAGGCTGTTGAGTGAAGCTGTGTTTGACTCGTCCTGAAGGGTTCACTCCAGGATATCTCCTTCCACATGAGCTGAGGTGAAGGCTGCAAGCTGTGAGATCAGAGCGGTCTCCTGTGTTTGTGTTCCGGGTGGGTTTGTTTTCGGATCTGGGTGCTGGGATCCATCTGGGATCAGCTCTTAAAGCTGTTATCTCAACTGTGTGTGAGACTCTTACCATCTGATCCCATGTTATCTCTGAGGAAAACACAGCAAATAAGAAATGGGGCAGTTTTCCACAAAAGAGATGCAGCTTTAGTGTCGTATTATTTATGAAAGACCATACACAAACAAAATAAATAAATAAAAAAGAACCAGCAACATAGAGGGAATTTGTCTGTTTGGGGTTTTTTACTGTTATATTCTTGATAACGTGTCATGAAAAACTGCTGTTTTTTCTCTGTTTGGGAACCACAAGATTAGGAAACAGGTGTTTTGTTCCATCAGAGGCCTCACTGGGGAAACTGGGTAGAAGAGTTGGTACAAAAAAACACAAACATGCGAAGGTCTGAATTATCCATCAGCAGAGAAGAGCCGGTAATAGCTGAACAAAATTTAAAAAAAAGGTATTAATAGTGAAAGTCAAAGTCAGGATCAAAATCCAAAGCGGAGAGGGTCATAGTCTCTGGTTATGTTTGCTGAAGAACTGAAGCTGCAGCGGTATTTGCATCAGACATTTTAGACTCAGGCTGGCCAATTAAATCTGTACAACAGCCGAAATATATCTTAAAGACCTTGACCATTTAAAAAAATAAAACCTCTCATGTTCCTTCAACCAAATAAGTATCTGCTATTTTTTGAAGGTCATAAAAACTGCTTTTTGTGTTATTAATGCAACTAATACAACGAAATGGATAAAGAGATCTTAATTTGGTGGTGGAAGAACAAAAGGGAGAACTCATTTGTATCCAAACCAGTTATGTCACTTTAAATTTCTTTCCATACAATCTTTTTTTTTTTTTTTTTTTTTTTTTTACTGTTTCTGAAATACTGTTTACCACAGATGTTTCTCCCTCATACCTCATCAAAAATAGTTAAGGCTTCTGAGCTATTTTCTATATTTATGCTGCTATAGCCTTAGGCTGCTGGAGGACATGGGGACCATTTTTTTCATCATTCTGCTTCATTCTTGCTTTACTCTAACATTCTGCAGTATTTCTTAGTTCCGTCCCTAACTTTATGTTCTCTCTGATTTTCGTAGCTTCAGGTCATTGATTCCATCCTGGAGAGAAATGTCAACTGGGCTGCGGCCATCAGCTTATAGAAGTTAGAGCTGGACTTGTTTTACAGTGTAGTCCTGTTTCTCTCCTAGACATAGCTATGAGCTCAGCTTCTACTGTGACTAACTGTATAGACTATCTTTCTTTGACATAAAAAAATGGCTGAGCTTGTCTGCTTAAGTGCTTCTTTCTTGGTCAGATCCACCTGCAGAACTAATTAACAGTTGCCTTTTCTATGTCTGCTTCTGTCGCCTTGAACCCCAGCTGGTCTTGTCAGAAGGCTGCTCTCAGTGAGCCTGGTTGTTGGAGGTCTCTTCCTTTTACAAGGGAGTTTTTTTCTCTCCAAACTCGATGCATGAGTGCTCTAATTTATGAAGATTCAATAAAATAATGCAAGCGATTATTATCGTCACAACCTCATCAAAAAGGAGCATGTCCTACAAATGAATGGCTTAATGCAATTACCCAGGTTTCCTAAGTAGAAACTTTTTAACACTGATTGAATGATCTGATTGAATTTTCTCTGTAAAAAGCATTGAGATCACTATTGTTGTGAATTGACACAAAATAAATAAACTAGTTGATGTTTCTTAGTCTGGCTATATGTATTAAATGAATGTATAAAAACAATCTAATTAAGTCACATGACACACAGCAGTATTTGTTGAGTCAGGTTATTAATCTTCCTGGTTCTTCATTTTTTGGGAAACAAAAAACAGGCAGCTGGTGTTTCAGCAGTCTTGTATTAATTCATGTTTGAATAAAAAAAAATCTCTCAACACTTGGCTTCCTTATTAAACCCTTTGCTCTACATTCTGTGGGAACCAAACTGATAAGCAGAATAAATGTGGCAGTTTGGTATTTTCCCAACTAATCCTCTTTTTCTCCTTCCTCTGATCATATCGGAGCATGACAGAGGCTCTCACATGTTCCTGAAGCTCGGTCACATGTTGTCCAGCCTGTCCTCCTTCAGGTGCTTCTGTGAGGCATTCAGGTGCTCACTTGCTTCAGCAACGCAAGCAGCTTCTAAAACATTAAGGCTAAAAAGATTAACCACAATGCCTTCTTTATTTTATTATATAAACAGAAATCTGTCCTATTTCTGTTGAAAAACATTAAAACACTTTTGTTTTACTGTAAAAAAAAAAAAAAAAAAAAATTATCTCATATATTGTAAAATGAAACAAACTATTTTTAAGTGCTATTTTTAATTTTTTAAAATACTAAATCAATTTCTTCGAAACGTTGTTGATTTGATAATATATTATTATATAAGTGGCTTCACAACAATAAAAAAATTATACAGATATGTGTCAATAATGATTATGTGTAGAAAATCAGTGTAATACAATTTTTTTCCCCCTCAAATTTTTGTAAAAAAACCTCCCTGAGCTTCTGCTGCAAAAATAGAATGGGTTCCTAACAGCTTCTGGATCATAAAAAATATAGAAGATACGGCACTGGAGTGTGGATTTAAACATTTATTGGCCAATAAACTAATCCAGTATATCCATAAACCTTGACGATAACACCGTTTCTGGCACAGTAAAAACATCTCATATCAGTTTACAGATAAAACAAGTGTAAAGATGTTAAAACAGCGGAAATAACCTCTTTGTTCATTCAGGCTTCAAAAATATGGAACAGATGTCAGAAAAATCTGCAGGACTAGAGTCTGTTTGGAGCCGAAAATAACCACCATAGAGACCCTGAACATTCATGGACAGGTTTTATATAGAAGCTAGATGAAGGTTCTATCCTAGGGAGATACAGGTAGGAAGTCTTACCTTCTTCAGCCACAGGTCCCAAACATTTTAACTTAAACAAAGTCAGGCCTTGCAAACCAATTTTAATGGACCTCAGATACCCTTCATACCACTAATTAATAACTGGCATCTCCTCCTTTTTATTTACAATATTTATATCCTAAAATGAAAGGAAGGGGTGAGCAATCGATTCATTCTCAAATACTTAAGTTGCTTCCCAATATAAATAATATTTTCTTTGTTAGGAACATTGAAGTGACCATGATAAATAGCTTGCTTTTATCATTATCATTTTAAAATCAACATCATATATACAGTGCTCTAGTTAAGGGGGGAATGAAGGGGGTGGCATCCCTTTCATAAAAAAATCTTTAATATAATCCCCCTTCTTTAATAACCATTCCCCCATACCATCCCCTGTGACATTTTATTACTGAATGTGTAAGATGTGTACTATATATATTAAAAATAATGGCAGTAATATCGCCCTTTCAAAATTTGGCTGGCTGTGGGCTTACGAGTAGCCTGACCAAAGTAAATAAAATAAAGAAGTGTCCAACCATGACTATGAAGCTGATTACAGTGGAAAATTAGTCCCTAATTATGTAGGGGCAGTGATAGCCATGCCAGTCAAGGGAATGACTGCAATTCTACTGTAAGGTGCCTTGGTCAAGGTCAATGACCGACGTACCTGACATGTAACAACCATACCATACGTAGAATATATGAATTTAGGCTATGTATGCTTCCAAAAAAGGAAACACCATCCCCCTTTTTTTTCTCTCAACATATACATACAGTATATATATATATATATATATATATATATATATATATATATATATATATATATATATATATATATATATATATATATATATATATATATATATATATATATATATATATATATCTCAACATCCCTTCTCTGATATCCTAAAACTTGGGCTTTAGTTTGTTGTGTGCCTGAATGTATGAAATATCCAAATCTAAAATAAAAGACCTTCATAATCATAAATAAGTTTTGAAATATTGTTTTTATTTAATCAGAGGATCGTTTAAGTGACTTTTTGCTGCTTGAGCTCAACAAGTTCAGATGCTGACTGAGTAGTCCTAATATAAAACATTCTTTTTCCTTTTGTAGGTTTCTTCCTCAGTCATAAAGGACGTCAGTGTTGGTTGACAGCGATGATTTGCAGCTCACACTCATACATCCTTTGAAGTGGGGGAGTCTCAGATATCCGGTAGTCCGCGAAGGCGCCATAGAGCTCATTCATTGCTGAGCGAAGCGGACAGAACTCAGACACCTCGCCGCAACGAGACGCGTCTAGAAGGGCTTTAAAGTGATCGTTTCGTCCGCAGTAAGTGGATTTAATATATTTGAACCTCGTTTTAGTTGATTTTTAGGGCCTCTCGGAGCTGCCGCAGTCCTCTCCACCCGGCAGGCTGAGGATTCAGCGCTGCAGTTTCCTGGTTTTACCGCCTTTGTGCACACGGCACCGCACTAGACCGGTGCGGAGCGCACAAAACCAACGTGTTTCTGTTTACCTCCAGTGTTTGAACGGCTCTGGGGTGAAACACAGACACGCGTGGACGCTGAACTCGGTGTTTATCTCAGATCCATGGTCAGTTTTGACCAGCCGACCGAAGTCCGGACTGTGAGGCACCATGAGGCCTGATTCCGGGCCGCGGCCACCTGGAACATCCCCTCATTCAGCATCCACCGATGTAACTATGTTTTTTATTCATAGTTTGTTGGTTAAACTGTTAAACTACCGTTTATTTAAAACAATTATTTGATTTATAAACTCCGATTCTCTCTAATTATTAGTATTAATGACTGATTTCACTCTAAAATAATGTATTCAGTCTTTTTGGATTCCAAGCCGAACTCTGTTCTAAAAACCGAACATTTAAAGATATCTTTGTCATAGAGATGGAGGAAGCTGTACTTTTTCATCACGGTATTTATGAGAACCTGTACTTAAATTCGGCTCATCTTCCGCCAAACCACAGAGTCAGAATTTCTCCTGAGCTCGTCTCATCTGCATCGTCCATCTGTCTTCTCCACCAGATTAACTGATGCTCAGAGCTTCCTGCAATGGGATTTAAGGAATAAGTAGTGTTTTTATAGTAATCTTTATCCTTAATTACCCCGACATGTGGCTCTTATTGTGTGATTCGTTCAGTTTATAACCGTCAGATCTGCAACTGCTGTTATATCAGATTATAGCAGCTTTTAATTCAAATAACTATGATTTATCAACACTAACACATTTCTCGAGTCTACATTTCCCACCTGATCGGTGTTGATTTATCTAAAAAAAGCTGCAGAAAAATCCATAATGGGTGTAAATGGAGCACAGCAGAAGCATATAAGTCCCCTTTGTCCTTAGTCAGCCCTGTTTCACTTCCTTCCTCTGAAAAATGTGCTTTTTAAAGGTTACAGGATGATCTTATTGGGGGATTTCTGGCTCTGATATATCTACACAGACTCAGTGACTCTGAAGAGGCTGATGCCCCCACTTCCTATATTTAGGAAATGTTAGAATAACTCAGCAGGTAGTTTCATCATGTGCATACTGTAGTTCAGCTCATCTGACTTGTTTTTCTGCAGAACCATTTTGGTTTGTACAGTCATCTAATAGCAGCCAATCCTGTTGTCTTTACCAATCTGTGGCGGGTTTTCAATGTGATTCATTCAAACTGATCTCCTTAGAACATTTTTGTAATGGTAGATGCAAATTTTATGCATATTTTCTGCAACTTTTTGAGTAGTTTATTATTATTTTTCTCTCCTTTCCTCTGAGCCTTCTATTTCTCTTTCATTTAGACCAACTTCATCTTCTGAATGCAGATCTATTGTTCCACCCCATAGCTGTGTATCGGGGTGGGATTTCATGAAGGGAGTCTGTTGTTATGACTTCCTGCTGTGACCTTTGGATAAGTTAACTTTGTTTTCCTTTCATTTTGCAGAGCATGTGTTCAGGGACAGAGACTGAACTGAAACAAGGCTAACACAAATCTGTTCCCTGCGGTTAAATGATGCAGACTTGATGTTTTGTCTCAGCAGAGATGATGAAGGACCAGATGGGTGCAGCCATCCTGGCTGTGATGTTTTCCTTTGCACTGTGCTGCGTTTGGGCTGCTTCAGAATGCTCCCCGTCCACCACGGAGGCTCCCGGCGGCTCCCGCTCCCTGTCGGCTGCTATCGACACCCAGAGAGCGGAGGAGAGCAGGAGGCAACACCTGGAGGCGCTGTTCCAGAGGTGAGCTGGAAGGGTTGATAATGGGGAAAGAAAGCAAGAACAGGTTGATTATTGCTTTACACGCTGTAGAGAAGTGAAAACATTCGTTTAGCTACTAACTTAACTTAAATTTCTTCTTTTTTTTTGAGATCTTGGATCTCTATGAGACTACCTATTTAAATTAATAATAAATAAAAAAAAACCTGCTCAGCATGTGATAAAGTTCTGCAGAGGCCCACCAAAGAACCATCATTTGATTCAATTGTGTTAGGCCCCGTCCACGCGAAGTCAAAACAAACATGAATGTTGGGCATGCGCAGTAATATTTATACAACAACCAAACCGGAAAACCAGAAAATGGCCCTGCGGGTCCATTTTCGTGGTTCAGTCAAATTCAGGTGCTGAACTATGTTGTCTATATTGCTCTGTTCTTCCTGGAGATATTCCAGAAGAAGATTCTGTTGTAAGCCCGACAGCAGGGTGAGCAGCATGAGCAGCAACCATTCAACACAGTACGGCACCATTGTTGTTGTGATACTGTGTCGCGCATGCGTGTTTAGAGGCGACGCTATGACGCATGCGTGTAAGAAAAAAAATGGGGTTAGAGCGTAAAGATGGAACCACGAAAACGGCGTTTCAGAATCTTCCCACTCTGAAGGCTGAATAAAAAAAAGATTGTTTACAGACCCCCGAAACGCCGGCTTCGTATGGATGAGAGGCTGGTTTGGTGAAAAATTAGTGCGTTTAGGCCAGGGTTTGGCTTCGTGTGGACGGGGCCTTAAACCAGGAAAAGAACTAGAGCCTAGAATTTGGATGGTTGATATTTATTGGTGCTCGATTAATAAACTGAATTGTTTCTATTTACTATCAGAGACCGGCTCAGCTGGGCTCTATCTCGGGTATCCGAGCAGAAGAGGATGTTTTATTTTGTGTTCTTCCTTAGTAGACCAAACATGAACGGGTGGATCGTCTTCCTTTCACCTCATCACATGATGCAACTCTTTGCGTTTGTCGCTTTAACTAAAACACCACCAATTGTCGTTAAGACTGAGCAGAACCATAGTCGTGTTCTTCAAATGGAAAACCCGACCTGAGCAATGGGAGGAGGATTCTGTTCTTCCTCTTGGTGCTTTAACTCTGACTTTTTTTTGGCCCAAACAGATACGGAGAGAACGGCACCATCTCTCTGGAAGGTCTGAAGCGTCTCTTAAGAAGCGTCGGTCTGGATCGGATCAGAAACATCATGGTGAAGCATCAGGAACAAGCAGGCGACCACCATCATCATCATCAATTTGGCCATCATCAACACCACCATCATCATCACCATGTCCATAAAGCTAACCACAGGAACCAGACTGCTAGTCAGAACAGAACTGGGAGTTCTGACCTGCAGCTAATTAAACCCAGTATGGCGGCGGGTCAGGAGGTCAGAACCACAGCTGGAAACGGCGCCGGTGTGTCGGTTAAAACGAAGAAGAGAAGCTTGGATGGAGCGAGTCCACCTGGAGACGGAGGCGCCGCCATGATGGCGCTGAAAGAGGGGTCGGCGGAGACGAATCGAGATGATCATGAACACCACCATGGCGACCACGATCACCACGGCGACCACGATCACCATGACCACCACGATCACCATGACCACCACGATCACCATGACCACCACGATCACCATGGTGACCACGATCACCACGGCGACCACGGCCACCACAGCGACCATGGCGACCACGACCACCATGATGATCACGATGACCATCTGCAGAACCGCAGCATGGACAGTGAAGAGGTACGTCTCCGTCTCCCGATGCTGCCTCTGTTAACAGGGATGGTCTGTGACATTTAATGGTCCCAAAAAATGCAGGAAAACTGGAATCTGTCCTCTGATGGAGACCAGCTGATCTGTGATGATTTTCATTTGACCGTAGGCGCTCCTCTGAGGAATACGTCTAAATCTTTGACCAGTAGACGTCAGTGTTGGTTTGGAGGCAGCTGTGAGGCGCCTCAGTCAGCCGCGCCGCCGCGTCAAACGCTGCTGAATCCAACAGAACTATCTCATCTCCGCAGCCAACCATAACCCTTCCTCTTGTAATGAATTATTCTGATGATTGGTTATTTAAACATTGAGGAAAATATCTGCAGATTAACACCTTAAGTTAATTTGATAAGTTGCATAAAGGCATGATTTATACATTTAGAATGTATAAATGAGTTTTTTAGAAGAAAATCCAGAGTTTATTGCTTTCAGCTCTATAGTAGATCTTGTCATTAGTTAACCCTTTATGGAGCAAAAGAAGAATCTGCAGATAAAAACAAGAAGATCGACATAACGAAAGCTTCAGAGCAGCTCTGCAAGGAATAAAGTTAAAAACATCAAATTTACAAGTTTTTCCAGCTTCAGAAGGCAGATTGTTCTCCAAATAATCTAGAACTCCAATAGTTGCACTGTCTGTGGTGGGTTTTGTAATTTTTCTCAGTTTTTTCATCACAGCTTCTGTCCCTGATATTTGTTGGCAGTTTGTTGGTTTGTTTCTGGGCTGAAAATGCTCCGTGCTTTGATTTCTTTATCTGTCTGTATGTTTTCATGTGAGCTGCCAGTCAGCTGATTCAGGGGAAAGAATTAGTTTTCTATCTTTATCACTAATTTCACCTCCTGTTGACTAAAAAAAAAAAAAATCTTAAACACGTTTTAGGCTTTTCAGGCTGCAGCAGCTGAAGACGTAGACGCCTAAAAGCATTTAGGGATGGATTTTAAATCAAAAACATTAGAATCTGTGATTTCTGCAGGTTTATGTTCAGGTTTTCTTCTGGGAGAACTTGACTGAGGCTCAACATTAGGTTTCAGAACCAGTCTGATTTTCCATGTTTCCTCCTGCAGTGTTTGAACGCCTCAGGTCTGCTCTTCTCCCACGGAATGTCACAAGAAGGGGGCGTCGCCCTCAGAGACTTTGCATACTTGTGCCCCGCCCTGCTAAACCAGATCGACAGTGGGGCGTGCCTCCTGCACGGAGACGTCTCCCAGCATGACCACAAAGGTAAGAACCAGACTCACTGATGCAGAAAGATCCTTCTGATGTTCATCGGCGGCGGCGATGGCCTGCTGAGGAAGCTGTACGAACCTGAAAGCCTTAAAAAGGCGCTGCTGCAGGACCAGTATGCCCGTCACTCTCAGCCGTGGTATCACCCTGATACCACGACTGTTTTCACAATAAACGCCTTTGTGTTTGTTACTCCTGATTAACTGGTTCCCTCCTCTTCATGACTAATCACTTCTTAAGCACTTCCTGCTTCTCAAAATATATATTTTATTGGACAAATATGACTTAATAGATTTATTTTATCTCTTTTTTTTTATTTCAGTTTTCAGTCTAGTATCAACAGCTGCAGGTGAGCTCCTTCTGACATCACCGTTTGGATTGTTTTTATAAAAAATGATGTACAAATTTAGATGGTGCAGAATGATGCAGATGCAAAAAATAAAAAGATTAAGAAAAACAAATTGAAGAAAGTGAGATGAAGGGAAATGAAGCAGGTAATGAAATGAGTGTGAACATTTCCAGTTTAATGTTTAAACGTATCTGTTATTTACTCAGCAGCTAAAGACTCTAAAACCCAAAACAGTACCGTAATTGCTTCGGCTCAGTCATTCCTGCAAGTTAAAAAGCCAATTCATCCCTGTGAGATCGGGTTCTATGACTTCCTCATGAAATGATTGGTTATAGGAACTGCTCACCCCTCTCACTACAACGCCATCCTGCTGCTCAAAACACTCCAACCGCCTCCTCCTCCCCAAGACTCAGCTAAGCACCATGGGCGACCGGACCTTCTGCTCTGCCGCTCCTCGGACCTGAATGCCCTCCCTGATCACCTGAAGGAACCACAGACTACCCAGACTTTTTAAAAAAAAGATTAAAAACATTTATTTTAAGCAGAACGTACGACTTTTAACCTGTATTTTACAACGATGTTAAGTTTTAAATTTTTTGCTTTTACCTTTCTATGAAGATTTTACCTGTAGCATAAAAAAAAAAAAAAAAGTAAAAAAACAATCCACTGGACTTTGTTTCCAAATTCTGAAGATGTTTCCCTTCCCATCCAGGAAGATTTATCAATTCAAAATGTCTGGACTAGAGTTCAGTTCGAGGTTTTATACAGTAACCCAACAAAACTTTGTTTTTGTTTAGAAAACATGCAAATTGAAACAGAGGAAGGGGTCCAGCCTGCAATACCCCTTTGGTCCCCACAGCAATCATCCTCCTCAGTTTGCAGGAGTGACTCATCAACACCTTCCTCTTTAGATACTTTATTATCATCTGCTTGTATGGTTAGCAGAAGGTTAAGCTGTTTTAGAGCTGGATTTCAATTAGAATATCCTCAGGTGTGCTTTGTTTTGATAAGTCTCTTCAAAGTAAAACAAGAGTTTTAGTTGCGCCTATAGTGAATAAAAACCTGATTTTTAGAATATTGATGTTGAGTTTTAAAGGAAGGATGCAGAAATGCTGTGGTCAGAATAAGCTGCTGTATCAGAGGATATTAAAGGAAAGTTGAGTGGAAGGAAAAAGTGTGTTAGTAAATAAGCGGCGGTGGGCTGCAGGATCGAATATGGTGAAGCAAAGCTGCACACACACCAAAGAGAGAAATCCGTTCCTCGTGTCAGCTACGCTTGATCCATAGGTTAAGAAGACAGGTGCAGGGCTGTGGTTCAGTGGTCATAAGTCCTTTTCTATTGACATTTTAAAGAAAATGTTGAGTTTTTATTTTTCGTTTCAGCAGGAAAGTGGAAGAAAAGCCGTTCCTCAAAGAGCCGAGGCAGATCATTGCAGCTTTGTCTCACCGTGACCTACTGTGATGTTTGTTTTTCAGGGCATAAACACCATAAACATTCTCACAATCACCATGGAGATCACAACCACGCCACAAATAACCAGAGCGACAATGCTGCCGGAGACAACAGCAAACACATCGCAACAGGTAGGATCAGTTCAGATTAGGGATGCACGATATTGGGATTTTGGCCGATAACCGATATGCCGATATTTTAAAACTCATGTAGCCGATAACCGATATCAATACTGATGTTAAAGCTGGACAAAAATAAGTAGTCATTGAAAATAGCAGTTTTGTTATTCATTTCTGACACTTTGAAAAATAATATACTCATATTTTCATATGCTGATATCAAATTGATTTTTAAAAATGCGGTATCGATCTATTTTACTTTCAAAATCTCGTGAAATTTCATCGTTCTGTTACAAACTCTCATGATATCTTGCAAATTCTTGTGAGATTTTGTTAGTAAAATAGATCGATATCGCGTCAATATATCAACATATAAAAATATGGCAAAATTTCAATTACATATAGCAATATTTCATTAGTAAAAGAGATTGATATGGTGTTTTTAAATGGCAATATATCAGCATATGAAGATATTGTGATATTTTAATGTATCAATATTTTTCCCTCATCTTTAGAAGTCTTTAAGTCTGTAAAAAAAAAAAAAGTTTTTGAGGAAGAAGTAGTAGTAATTATTTTTTTTTTTAGACTTTAGAAACTCAGAAGCTGATCAAATATCGGGTTAAATATCGGCGGGGTGGCCGATGTCCGATATTCAGATTTAAGGCCGATAGGGGGCCGATTATATCGTGCATCCCTAGTTCAGATCGCTTTATTGGTAGAGATTTTACTGATGGTTATGTCTTTAAATGTCTAAATGTCTTTAATGCGATGATTGCTGATAGAACAGAACTTAGCAGATGTTTCTTTATTCTACCTGCATAATCTAAATTCCTGAACAGTCAATAAAAAAAAATGTTTTTAGTTGCCTCCAATAAACAACTTTTTTCAAATAGAATTAACCAGTCCTCATCAGTTGTATTAATGTAATGTACTATACTTATAACTGTATATAATAACTAAAATCCTGCTAATGGAGAGTGTGTTTTGTTATATTAGTAATAAATTGAATTAAGGGTTAATTTTCGGGGGTTTAGTTTCAGCTAAGCTTTGGTTTGTTGCAGCGTGGGTCGGCGGCTTCGTCTCCATCACCATCATCAGTATGCTGTCGCTGCTCGGCGTCGTCCTCATCCCGCTCATGAACAAAGTTTTCTTCAAGTTCCTCCTCAGCTTCCTGGTGGCCCTGGCTGTGGGGACACTGAGTGGAGACGCCTTCCTGCACCTTATACCTCATGTGAGTCCATGTGGAGGATGGTGACCAGCCACACTTTGGTCGCACTCTCTGGTTTAATTAACCACCTTGATATACAGGGAACATAAAGTCTACCAAGTTGAGTAAATGTCTTTTTTCTAGACATGCCTGATATCTGAGATCTTTTCCAAAATTTTAGACTAATTGTGTCAGAATAACGTTTTTTGTTGTTGTTTGTTTCTACGTGTTTGAAAAAAGTTAGAAAACAATCCACTGGACTTTGCTACCAAGTTTGAAGACATTTTGCTTCTCATCAACGAAGCTTTTTCATTTCAAAAATTTAGAATTTTAATTTTTGAATTGAAAAAAAAATCTTTGAATTTTAAATGGAAAGAGCTTCCTGGATGGGAAGCGAAACATCTTCCAACTTGGAAACAAAGTCCAGGAGATTGTTTTTTAATTGCTGAAAGAAATAAAACATTCATCATAAGAAGTTAGAAAATAAAACATCTCAATTTTCAGCTGTTTTATTTATTTAGCTTTGCAAAGATTGGCAGGATTTTGATTTTGTTTATGTTTTATTAATATGTTATTATATAAAGAAGCCTGGCTTTGCAGGCACCTGATTATATCTTAGGCATTTGACTGTATTGGTAGGTTTTTAGATGAGACCTTATTAATTTTATTCCCCAAATCATTTTCATAAATTTTTTTAAAATTCTTCTCTTCAGTCTCAGGGAAGCCATCACCACCACCACCATGAGGAACCGGGTATGGACCTTGGAGAGCATCACATCCATGAAGAAAACGGGGAAGACCTTGATGGGATGTGGAAAGGCCTGGCTGCTCTGGGAGGCGTCTACTTCATGTTCCTGATTGAACACTTCCTGACGCTGGGAAAAATGTACAAAGACAAGAAGCAGAAGGTTAGAATTAGATAAACGGCTCATTAACTCGAGGTTCGGTCACATGATGTCTGCATAATCTAAGGCAGGACTGGGCGATATGAAGAAAATCTAATATCACCATATATTTGGGCTATGTCACGATACACAATATATATCACAATATGATTAAATCACATTCAAAAACAAAAGAGTGCATAAAATTGCACTGATATACTCATTCAAACCTTTGGTTTCAAATTAAAAACATTTTATTTTAACCAGCTCAAAGCTGTTCATTAATAATACAGCCACATTATGTCTTTCAGTGCCAGTATTAGACCTTTAATAAGATCCAAGCAACAAACCAGGAAACTAAGCAGAAACACACGATACTAAATCCATCCATCCTTTTTCTCTCATGCTGAGAGTCGCGAGGGGTTCCAGCTGTCTATGGCGAGAGGCGGGGTCCAGCCTGGACAGGTCGCCAGTCCATCGCAGGGCAACACAGAGACGAACAGGACAAACAACCATTCACACACACACACCTAAGGAGAATTTAGAGACGCAAATGAACCTAACAGTCATGTTTTGGACTGTGGGAGGAAGCCAGAGTACCCAGAGAGAACCCACACATGCACGGGGAGAATGCAATACTAAATAAAGAGCAAAATAAAAAAGGGCTCTTGAAAAAAGAAATTGACCTAAAATTACAAAAACAAAAGGAAATACTGTCCAAATATTAGTGCGTTATTAGAGCATCTCTAAACTATTTACACTGATCTATACGTGCTGGGAATTTTAAAGGAGCACAAAAAGTGGTAATTTGAGAAAATCGCCAAGTTAACAAAACGCCTGCGAACCTCTGAACAATACCACATCACAGGTATTGAAGGAACTCACAGATGCTATTTATTACGATTTTAGATTCTCTATCTATTAATTTTTGTCTTATATGAGGTTGCTTTTCAAACAACGAAGCCAACGTCGTCGGCTTCACAGCCGAATATGAGAATATTCAAAGCAGAACATTTTAATCGGTGTGCGGGGAGACGGCGGCATGCAGACGTCACAACATTCTTCATTTTGCAGCGGATTACTTTTTAGTAGGGATGGGACGATTTATAAAAACCGTCAGAACCGTTCGGTTCGGTTCGCGTGTGTTTCGTTCGGTTCATGCGCTGCTCCTTTTTCTCATAGGGGAAGCGTTTACGCTCCAGAGCAGAAGGTGGCGGTACTGCGACCAAAGCCAACCACCAGTAGTAAAGAAGAAGAAGAAGCGAAGCAGCTTAGCCGGGTGTAGCAGGGAAAAAAATCAGTTGTTGTGGAGAATTGTATGGGTATGGCAAGTGGGAAAGAACAGGCGTTGGAAGACGCGCCAGCAGCACTTTATAGGTCTGCTGTATGGGACCGCTTTGCATTTAGAGGGACCTACGATGACGGCGGAAAGAAAGTTGTGGATAAAAGTGCAACAGTGTGCAAGCATTGTGCAACACGTTTTGTTTACGCTAACAGCAACATGACCAACATGTCATGCTAACCCCGAAATCCCACATACTCCGTCAGCGCTCCGCCCCGCTGCGCTCCAGACCGGCTGCTCAAAGCAAAGCCTACAGCCTCCACTGTGGCTCCCGTCCGCTCCCCTCTGAGTCCCTTGGAGATGGTAGAGAGCATGCGCGACATGATTAAATTCAAAACAGCAAAACATGCGGAAATGATCCAGGGTTTCCGCGGATCTTTTAAACTAATTAGAATCCATTATTTTTGGGGGGATTTTTTCATTAATTCCATCAATTTTTATGGGATTTCGGTGTAACAATCAACATATACCGAACCGAACCGAAAACCGTGACCAGAAACCGTAAATCGAACCGAACCGTGGACTTTGTGAACCGTTCCACCCCTACTTTTTAGGTGATAGAATAAGTTACTGCTGTCGCCATATTTCACTGTGTGGCGCACAGAAAATAATCCTGTTTGGAGGACAGGTCTATGATGCATTCAAAGTGTGTGGGAAAAATAAAACTCAGTGAAATAGGCTTAATGTCGTCCGACGAATTTGTACTCTATGGTTGCGATTGTCATTTTAAATATCGTGCGTGGGGAAAACCTGACATACATCGAGTATATTTGATATATCACCCGTCCGTAATCTAAGGCTGTTTTTATTACCATCATCTAGACTCTCAATGCCAGTGATAATTGTTAATGCTAATTCATTTCCTGCAGCAGGAGGAGCAAGAAGAAACTTTGACAGTAGAACTGCCATTTAGATGGATTAAATCAAACTTTTATCCATTATCTAATTAAATGATCTTTGTAATTAGGAATCAGTTTACATTTAAAAGAAATACATTAACTTTGTGAAATCATGAAATGTGCTCGTTCAGAGTTTGCCGTTGAACAAGGAGGATTTCTCCTTCTTCTTCCTCTATGAAACCGAACAATATTTTATGTCTACATATCCAGAAGAAATGGGACCAGAATGATAAATCGGATCCGGAGAAGCAGCCCGCTCTGGTGGCCAGCGAGCTGAAGCCAACTGAAGGTGAGAGGCGACAGCAAAAAGAAAAACATCAACTGAGTTCATCTCAAAACTCCAGCCCTGACGCCAACGCTGCAGACGTCTCAGTTTTGTCCCTCCTTGTGTTTTCCGCCTTCAGACGTGGAGACGAACGGCGCCAGCACGTTTGCCGACCACTCCAATGACGTGGCGGAGGAGGAGCAGGTGATGCTGACGCCACAGGTGTCCGTTGTCTCGCCGCAGAGCTACGGCAGACCCTCGGGGGACGCCGCCTACTCGGCGGAGGACTGCGAGAACAAATGCCACTCCCACTTCCATGACACGGTGGGCCAGGCGGACAGCATGCACCACCACCATCATGACTACCACCACATCCTGCATCACCACCATTCCCAGAACCACCACCCACACAGCCACTCCCACTCCTACTCAGAGCAGCACTTCCAGCAGGCCGGCGTGGCCACGCTCGCCTGGATGGTCATCATGGGAGATGGGCTGCACAACTTCAGCGACGGCCTCGCCATCGGTGAGAAGCCACTGCAGATCCGGCTTAAAACCGTCTCAGTTTTGGACACTTCTAATGCAGTTGTTGTGTTTTTGCAGGAGCTGCTTTTACTGAGAGTCTATCCAGCGGCCTCAGTACGTCGGTGGCCGTTTTCTGCCATGAGCTGCCTCATGAGTTGGGTAAGACCTCCATCGTTGCGCTGGTTACCAGGAGAGGCAGCACAGTTTACGGCCTAAATTTAAAGAGGCTTTTCTAATTGTTCCTGAACATAGAAAACTCCCCAAAACATATTTTTTTCATTTTAAAATTCAAATAAAAATGTTACAAATTCGCATTTTTTATTTTATTTTTTTCACAAACGTTTAGCTTGCAGAAAACCTTTCCTAACAGACAGCCGAGCAAAGTCCTATAAAGCAGAATTGATTTTCAGTAAGTTAAGATTAGGGCTGAACAATTTTTTGCCAAAAAACAAAATTGCGATTATTTTAAAACAATAATGCAATTTTATTGCGATTTTTCCTTTGCACTAAGCGGAAGCTTGTAAATGTTTGGCTCTAGGGTTTCAGTGTTTTCCTGACCTGAACGCTTGTCTGTCCAGAGAGTCCATTGTTTCTGAACGTTATTGTAACCTTTGTGTGAAAAAGTTCTTACTACTATTATCATGCATGGACCTCCCCTTCTGTGTGGCAGCAGACCCACTTTAAGTTCATTAGCGCCACCTAAAGGGCTGGAGGGAGAAACTCAGTCTCATACCCTTGTTAGATTTGATATGTACGCGTAATGGTTCCCAGGAATTAGCCAAACTTGACAGCATACTGAAGGGGGGATTCTTGATTCTTTAATTAAGCTATGTTGGAGCAGAGATGCGTGTAAAAACTGCAGTACAGTAGATCTTTAGGGACTGGATTTAGATCAGAGGTCTCTATCTGATCTAAACTGTCTGGCTTCATCCCAAAGATTTCAGTCTGTTGATTTCAAGTTTCACAGTTTGTGATGTTAATATTTATGGATCTGGGATTTGTTTAGTATTTATTTTGATATTATCGTAATTTCCGTACTACAGAGCGCACCTCACAAATAAAAAAAAACAAATAAAAAATGGAAACACGCATGTATAAGCGGGCTTTAAGCTGCTATTACGGTGTCTCCCACCAAACCTGTAGGGGGAGCTCTATATATAGCCCCTGTAGTCGGGACGAGGAAGGAAGGTGGCTAACTCCTGTTAGCTTGTTGGCTCGCAGCTGTAAGAGCTTCAACTGATGGGGCTTCGTCAGCTCTTTATTTCAGCTCTGCAGACGTTTACCCCAGTCTCTTTATTAGTTTAGCAGATTTATTGCAGCAAATAAATGTGAAAATGTGTGAATTCAGGACATTTGTTCTCTGTAGTTCCTGCTGCTTGCTTCTTCTTGTGCTAAATTTCCAATTTTGACTCCCTTCTCTGGCGTTTAGAAAGAGTCAACAGAAAAGCTGCAGCTTCTTATAAGCTGCATGGTTCAAAGAGTGGGGGAAAGTAGCGGCTTATAGTCCGGGAAGTACGGTACATGCTTCATCCTCATCGTGTTTCCTGCGTCGTAAAGTATACAGGAGGTAACGTGGGGCAATCAGCCTCTCACAACCTCCCAATCAGGAATCGTGAGGTCAGGAGAAAATCTAATTAAAATTCAGTCGGCTGTTGTGAGATGTTTGTGAACAAATCCTGCAGTTGAAGCAGAGCTACCAGCCGATTTACCACCTCGAGCACTGCGCATGTGCAAACAAAGGAGTTCTTCTTCCAGTCTTCGAGTCAGACCAGCGCCGTCTCTTGGCGCTCAGTCGAGCGGGTGGTTTTTGGATGTGCAGTGTGGGCATGTAGATCGCATCAGAGCGTCGGGTCGCACAGTGTGAGAACGTACATCGAGAGCTGTGAAGTTTTAAACCCGACGGTTTCGTCGTACAGTCTGAGTTGTAGCTGCGTGCCATGATTGAAAATATCGCACAGTTTATCCCCGGCTTTAGTCTCAGTCTGAACACACAAAGCACTGAGGGTGCCGTGAAACATTTGATTTACTTCCAGGATGCAGTTTAGAGTTTAATGTCAAACACTAGTTCCAGTGTTTCTGACCCAGAGGCAGAGCAGGGATGGTCGTCTGATTAGAGATTTCTGCAGCAGTTTTCTGTCGTCCCTTTATCCATGTGTGGAAACCAATTCCCAGTTGCATTGTTTTATTTTTATTTCTTTTTTTACCTGGCTGAGCCGATTTAAAACGTTTGGCTGCTTTTTATCCTTTATTTAGTCCAGACTTTGGCTTCGAAGGGAAATCAGCTGCTTTATTTTACCTGCAGCTGTGGAAATATTGCGTGAAGTATAAACTCATCTGTGATCTTCAGTCTTCCATCTGTTGATGCAAAGTGACATAGAACAAGCTGAAGGAGTGGAGCTACCTTCATGTTCATAGTTTTATTTTCTCTCCTGAAAGTGTCGGTAGATGAAAATGTTGCTGTTTTCTGTCTGACGATCTCTGTTCTGTTTCCAGGGGACTTTGCGGTGCTCCTGAAGGCGGGCATGACGGTAAAGCAGGCCATCCTTTACAACGCGCTGTCGGCCATGATGGCGTACCTCGGCATGGTGACGGGCATTTTAATCGGACACTACGCTGAAAACATCTGCATGTGGATCTTTGCCCTCACAGCCGGCCTCTTCATGTATGTGGCTCTGGTGGACATGGTGAGTTGGACCCACTGAGGAACGGAACCCAAGGTCATCAGTGGAGGGTTCTTCCTCTGAGAAGCTGCTCAATCAGCTGCTGAGTCAACACAACTGCCTCATGGCGCCCTCTTGTGGCTGACTACTGAGTCTTCCTGCATACTGTTAAAACATATGAGCTCATAAGTCTTTGATATGAATTTATGTAAAAATCAAGAAATTTAATTGATGGGTTTCAGAAGCGTGATTCATGAAGCATTCTACCTGACGACGGCCATATTAAGTAGCGAACACTCAGCTTAGCACTATGGCGCGGCCCTCTGACCAGAACAGATCCTTCTTCTTTAAATCCCTGTTAGCTTAAACTATACAGAGAGAAAATTTGTTCTTGGATTTTTTTCAGCACTTTCCAACTGACAGTCTTATTTCATCTGATATTCGTTCTGCTGATCTTTATGTAAACGGCTAAATGCAACGATAATGTCTGCAGTTAAATCTTTAGATCTTAATATCAAATGCATTTCTTTCAAATCAGTGTAATCTAATCGGTTAATTTTCTGAAGAAAAAAAATTGCACAAGAGATTAAGTCCAGTTGGCAACAGCCTAAGCTAGCTCTCCCGACTTGTTTTGAAATTCAGCTGATAAGAACACTGGAAAGATGGCTACTTGCAGTCTGCGTCCATTCGGCCTTTCTGATCGCTGACGGCCATCTCTGACCATCGTTGATTCTCTTTTGGTTAGAGAAATATATCAGCCGCATTTTTTATTGTCACATCCAACAGACAGACTGCATCTTTTAAGCTTAGGTGACCAGAGCAGGTTTGGTTCGAACATCTGTGAGGTCAGCTCCAAGGCGTCAAGAAGGTAAACGGTTGCACAAGGATCGGTTCGCCTCAAGCTTCACATGATGATCAGATGCACCTCTTCAAGCAGGAGCTTCATCTGATTCATGGGAAGACATCAGCAGAGGAGGATTCTGGGAAGGATTATTAGCCAGTTTCCAAACTGTGAGAAGATAATTGCTTGATGGAGAAAAAAACATTATTCACTAGTGAAAACATTTAGGTGAGCTGCCGATGCCCTGCAGGGTGGATGTTGCAACAGATTCAAAGTTCAGAGCAGAAAATGATCCACCATAATAAACCCAAGAGTTTCACTTCAGGTTCTACAGGCTTCCTCTAGCATTTTAAAGGCTTTGATAGCATAACTGGATCAACTTTCTACCGATGCGCCTAAATCACATTTAACACCACAGTTTACTCATTCTCCTGTTTTCTGTTGTAAACTGCTGCTTATTCAAACGACATTAACTAGTACATGATTAACAGAGTCTTGTTGACATAATAATCCTTGTTTGAAGCCTAGTTCTGCTAGAGAGCAGAAAAAAGGTCCTTAAAGTGCTTCACTGAGCAGAAAAAGAAGTTTAAAACATCTATAGAAATATAAATGATTTAACATCTAATGACTCAGTGTGTTATGGATGATAGTTAGGGTTTTTTTTTTTAATAACTGTTTCTTTATAAAACTACGACTGCAGATGAAAATATTACAGGATATCCTTTTCGGGATTTTCCTTTTTTTGTTTTAGGATCTCGACTGGGAGACTTCCAGAGATGCTCAGTTTTTTTTTTTTCCCTTCAAACTGCTGGTCTGTTGGTCCAAGTTCAGATTTTAATAAATGACGTCATTCCTGCTTTCATCTCTGGCAGTAGAGGTTGGGTTTGTTTCAGTGTCAGAGGTTTGATCGATAACATCTGGGCACCGTGCAGCCGCTGGACCATGACCTCCAGAGTTTCATAAAATCCAAATATGAGGCCATTGATCTGAAAGCTGCAGCTTGGTCCAAACAGACTCTAGTTGTATTCCTTCAGAAAAATGGTTCTCATCACATCATCAGTGTTTGAAATATTTGGTCCTCAAAACCTGGAGTGCAGTAATGAGGCTGTAGACAAGCTTCTGCAAACTAATGAACATAAGCAATTTAAACCATCTCACCTCTAGGGGTCGCCCTTACTCCATCAGGCTCAAACTAACAATATCAGCTCTATAAGCGTTGAGAACAAGAATCTTTATGCTGCTTTAATATTTAGCCTGTCGGACAGAGTCTCACCACATCAGTCCTGAGAAATGAGAGAAGAGAAGACAGCTTGCAGTTTTTTTTATATCCCTTTATATTTACAGATCTAAATTTTTATGTAATGGTAACTCAGCTGCACACTGGAAAAAGGATCCAGAAATTAGTCAGCATTTCTTAAATTAAGTGTATTGTCCCTCAATATAAGTATATAAATAAGATGATTTGCCAATGGAATTAGTATTTTTACTCTTAAAAAAATATAAATTAATAATGTGCCGTTGAAATATACGATGCAATTGTTTTATTATTTTAAATGTAAAATGTCTTTCCATTGTCAAAGTGTCTCATATACTTCCTCAATTCAAGAACAAATGCACTTATTTTAGAAAAAAAATGATTCCTGATTCCTTTTATGTGTAGATGTTTGTCTGCTCATCAAAGGGCTCAGTTTCCTAAACAGCATTCAGTTGTTCAGGTTTGCAGAGTCCTGGACCAGAGCGTTAGCTCTCCTGAACCGAATGTGGGCTCCCATGCATTCAAGTCTTCCCAGAATCACCTGATTATTCCTTCCCTTTGAACATATTTTAATGGTTCCCTAATGTCCAGGAGTTACTTGTTCCCTTCAGGTGGAATGATTCCAGTCTGCTTTGATTTGACCGTCTCTTTCCCCCTTTCCTTCAGGTGGAATGATTCCAGTCTGCTTTGATTTGACCGTCTCTTTCCCCCTTTCCTTCAGGTGGAATGATTCCAGTCTGCTTTGATTTGACCGTCTCTTTCCCCCTTTCCTTCAGGTGGAATGATTCCAGTCTGCTTTGATTTGACCGTCTCTTTCCCCCTTTCCTTCAGGTGGAATGATTCCAGTCTGCTTTGATTTGACCGTCTCTTTCCCCCTTTCCTTCAGGTGGAATGATTCCAGTCTGCTTTGATTTGACCGTCTCTTTCCCCCTTTCCTTCAGGTGGAATGATTCCAGTCTGCTTTGATTTGACCGTCTCTTTCCCCCTTTCCTTCAGGTGGAATGATTCCAGTCTGCTTTGATTTGACCGTCTCTTTCCCCCTTTCCTTCAGGTGCCAGAGATGCTGCACAACAACGCCGGAGACCACGGCTTCAGCCACTGCGGCTTCTTCCTGCTGCAGAACGCCGGCATCCTACTGGGCTTCTGCATCATGCTGCTCATCGCTCTGTTCGAGCATAAAATCCAGCTGGATCTGGGTTACTGATGGGGAACTGTCCCGTTCCTCCTGAAGGCTCTGTCCGTGCTTTTGTTTACATACTCCAGTCATCATAGTGTTTTAGTTTACTTAGTTGTATCGTTTAGATGAAAGGCAACGGCATGCAGGAAGCTGTCTCATGCTGCTGTTAATAGAGATCAGTTCAGATGTTGCTGCTGGAGATGAGGTCTGAATTCGAGGCTTCAGGAGTCGTTCTTTCCTCCAGGTGGAGATTAGATCTCAGCACCAAGTCTGGGAGTTTGTTTTGAGTCAGTTTTTACTATTATCCGTTCCTTGTAGTGGTTCTATCTTTCTTTTTTTGCAAGTTAGTTTAGTTTTTTTTACATACATGCATATCTATTTTTTGTACATTTTAATTAATACAATCGGACCAGTGTTACAAAGGTACAACTTTCTAGACCGCAGTTCCTTCAAATTCTGCTTTTCTGTATAAAATCCTTCAGGAAGCTTGTGGTGCAGCTGGTTAACAGTGAGTCAGGCCCTGATTGGGCTCAAGGATGCTGGTCAAACTGAGTTTAGGTCAATCAACGAAGCTGTTTGTAGCTCAGAAAATGATTTAAATGAAACTTAAAGCGATAGAATTACCAACTCAGATGAGCTACAGAATAAACATCCAGGGTTTACTTTAAGGCAGCAGGAGGTTCCTGCAAAAACTGACGTTGTTTTTAGAGTTCAAATGTTTATTTCCTCTTTAACAAGAGATTTAAATGGAACATCGGGCCAATTTTTACGCCTCCTTTTAATCTCTGTTACTAGAAATCAGTAAAAATGTAAAGACAGTTTAATTCTGCTGCTGCATCCTAAAATATTCTTTTCAAGAGTAACAAAGAAAGTGGTGTTTATTTATTTCGTTCATTAATATGTGTCGAAAATGCTGGTAAAAGTCCCCCCCCCCCCCCCCCCCCCCCAAAAGCATGTTAAGTTGAATGTAAAAACTGAAGTCTTTCCTGAATGGTTGATGTTATTCTTCCAGTTAAAACACTTTAATCATTTAGTCGCTCTGAGTTCTACATGTAGGAGAATTTTGATCTCAAAGCAGGAAGGAAAAACCCAGACTTCAATCACAATCTATTTATCAAACCTTTGCCATCCCAGATATGTTTAATTTATTTTCTTCTCATTGGTTTATTTTTGTGGTTAAATTTATTTAGTTTTTTTTTTTTTGTTTGTTTGGTATTTTTGTTTTGGTAAAATGAAATGCACAGACTTAAATATTTTCAGTCTTTATTATTAAATTATTTGTGTTTTGGAGGAATGCAGACCAGATAAGAAAAGTTCAGCCATTTTGTTTCTATGTTTTCAGACTGATGATGGCAGCTCTTTGAAAACGAAGGGTTTTCCTTGTAATATTTCCTGCTCTTCAGGATAAAGAGCAGCTGAAGAAACAGATTTTCACAGATTTTACTTTGATTGATCCAATTCTTAGGTCAAGGTTTCCTCACAGGTGGTTCAGCTGGACTCCACTGTGGTTCCAACATGTACAGTATTAAATGGGGTGTAAATACTTGGATGTTAAGTTGGTAGATGTATTTGTGATGTTTGCGTAAGTCTGCATTACATTTCTTTTGACACAAACACAACCGGAGCTGGTACTGAAATCTTTGAGAAGTGATTAGAAGATGTGGAAAACTTAAAATAATTAAAGTCCATTAAAGACAATCATGTTTTTGAGGCTTCTTTTTGTTTGTTTAATAAGCTGATGATGTACAGTGTGGCCAATAAGGTAGTCCACTATCCACTGGGAAAGTTGGGCTACTCCTTTCACGTTAGAAGACCAGGCAGGGTGTTTAATGTACTGGAGATCTAACAGAACGTGATCCTCACAAAGTTCCCCGGCTAAGTCAGTTCTGGAGATAAAATTTGTGCCAATCTGATGCCAAGCTGGTAAACTCACGGCAGTGGACCCAATGTAGAGTCCATCTGAATTTGCAACACAACACTTAAACCAGAGTGGAAGTGTGTTGACAGTCACCATGATGAGTGTTGTCTGAATAGGGCTGGCAGTAAGGAAGGAGGTAGGAAGATGAGGAAACATCCTACGTTCCTAAACGCTGCTTAGGGGCTAAATAGCTTTATAATCTTTTATGTGGCAAGAGCTGTTGGCACAGTCTAATGGACTTTAACAAAAATGTCATTTGTGCCAATATAGATATAGGAAATTGGTCCAATATCAGCCAAAACATAAATATCAGAATAAATCAGCTTGCTTTGAAAATCCCAGCTATAAGTAAGCAAATAGAAACACTCTGCTTTTATCCACTTGTTTAAAGTTTCTGTAACCCATTAGTTAATATATAGCTGTGACAGTTGTTTTCATAGCTAATTTTTACTATCGTTCTTTCTGTTTAATATTTTTATTGATGTTTGCATACAAGAATAACAAAGGTTTTTACATGATACATAGGTGTCAGCCTTAAACGTGTGTGTATACGCCTTTGGATGTTAAACAGCGTTCTCAGGAACAGAAAAAATTAACATGACGAATGACTTACCTAAATAATTATAAAAAAAGAAGAGGGGAACAAGGAGAGTGAGAGGAAAAAAACAATGGGGTGTGGGTGAAGGGGGGTTGCATAACTTAAAAAAGTCCATGAACGTCTGGAATAACTAATTTTCTTGACTTTTAAAAGAGACGTAACCTCTTAAATCCACCGTGTACTGGAGGGAGCAGTCATGGATTTCCAATTCAGGAGGTGGCTTTTACTGAGGTGAAAGCTATCACCTGCAATTCTTTAGTAGAATATAAAGCATATCCAAAGAAAGTTGAGTCAAACCTTGAACTGAAGCTTATTCCTGATATTTTGAATTGAAAAGGCTTCCTGGATGGGAAGCAAAACGTCTTAAAAGTTGGAAACAAAGTCCAGGGGATTGTTATTCAGTTTTTTTTTTTTTTGGGATGACTGTGACCTTGATGACTGAGAACCTTCACAAGCAATATAAAGTACAGTCATCCAGAAGACCAAAAATAACATGTAGTGAGATGTGAATAGCATTGAAGTAAACTTGCCAAAAGTTTTAGAGAGCTGGACAGGAGTAAAACATGCGTCAGATTGCAGGATGTGTTTCCACATCTGTCGCAGAGGTCTACCATATCTGGAAAGATGTGTGCCAGCCTAGTCTTCGAATAGTATCATCTAAATACAACTTTAGTCTGTATTAAGGTCAGGCGGGAACATAGAAATTCTGTGAATGGCCTTAAGCGCCGATTCCCACCAGTCTTCATCAAAGACCAACCCCAACTCCCTTGTTTGATGGTTAGATAATGATCATAAGATTGGATAGAACTGTAAACCTTTGAGATTAAAGATCTTTGTGAGGGATTGAATTGAAGGAGCTCACCCTATGGCTGCTTAGTGGGAGGTGAGGAAAGTTGGCAAATAAAGACTGCACAATTCCTCACCTGGAAACAATCTAAAGAGACGGGAAGCTGAAAGGATGAATTCAGCAGCTGGGTCTGCGAAAGAGCAAAAAATCCCTACCCTATAAAATCCTCAAAACTTTTGAGTCCCTAATGCTATAAGGAGAAAGTTGGATCAGTAAATGTAGGAGCATTACATTTAAAATGTTTCCTAAACTTTCCCTATTTTAAGTGTGGCGTTTACCACAGGGTTGCAGGTCAGACCAGAGGGGTTAGCTGCCATCGGGTCGGTCAATAGAGCAAGGAGAGAAACTGAGGAGCATGACTGCCTTTCCAGCTGAAACCAGAGTTCATTAGCTGACTTGGACCAGAGTATAATTTAGGTTAGTAGTAGAATTGACAATTCGGCATTCCATAGAACTTATAATTCTGAAGTATATTTCTTTTAACTCTAGGTGTTTTGCCATTCCACAAAAAAGAAGAAATAACAGAATCTACAATTTAAAAACAAAACTGTATGCCAAAAATATAGGTACACATTGAAAAAGCAATAAAAATTTTGGCAGGGCACTCATCTTGATTGTATTTATTATTTCCAATCAAGGAGAAAGGGAGGGAACCCATTTTTGAAAATCCGTCCTTATCTCGGCTGAAAGAGGAGAAAAATTTTCATAATAAAGAGAATTGAAAGACCTGGGTACGTTAACCCCAAGGTACCTAAATCCAGAAGGACTCAAACTGAACATTAACTTTATTCAATTCAGTTTATTTATATAGCGCCAAATGACAGCACATGTCATCTCAAGGCACCTTACAGTTCAACCAGATCATACAGTCAAATTGATTCAAAGTTTTCTATCTAAGGAAAACCAGTTGATTGCATCGACTCAATGACTCGAAGGCAATCCCTCACACTAAGCATGCTTGTAGCGACAGTTAGGAGGAAAAACTCCCTTTTAACAGGAAGAAACCTCCAGCAGAACCAGGCTCAGTGTGAGCGGCCATCTGCTGAGGCCGACTGGGGTTCAAGGAGACAGAAGCAGAGATACAAAAAGCAGCTGTAAAAGGCGGCCCCGTCCAGGAAACACGCAGCCAGGCAGACGAGCTCCAAGGCAGCTCCCATGTCAGAGGATGAAGAGAGCACATCCAGCCAATCACAGTCAGAGAAACAGGACTACACTGGCAAAAAGGCAGATCTCCAACATCTATAAACAAAGGTATTGATGGAAGCAGCACAGCTGACATTTCTCACCAGGATGGAGTCACAGCCAAACAGGAACAGATGAGGCAAAGCTACTCTGAGAAAAAGCAGAGAGAGCAGAACGTTAAAGATTGAACTAACAGATTCTGCAGATTGGGAGAATAGAGAGAGAATGAAGCAGAGTGATGAAATAGGAGTCCCTATGTCCTCCAGAAGTCTAAGCCTAGTTCATGTTGTATTATTTGATGGCAGGGGTGGGAACATTTGCATTTCTCTTGCAAGTTCTGCGCCATCAATGTATTGCTGGCTGTCCCCAGTCAGAGCAGCACATAGAGTTTGAAACTTCTGAAACAACTCTTTTTCTTCGAAGGTTGGGAAATTAAGGAGCACACCAAGCATTCACTTCTCCAAGATTCCAAAATCTCTCTGCAAGTGAAGAGATGACTACATTACCCATTACCCATCACCTTTGATACTGTCTGTGCATCGAAAATCCAGTGTAACTCTGAGGGAATCTCTTGTTTTCCTCAGCAAGTCGACAGCTACTCCAAGCTGCATGAAAGGTGACTGGATCAGTTTACTGACATGCTGGATTTTGCTGAGAAAATCATACCATATAGCTGTGCAAATGCAAAAGCAAAAGGATACAATCTCCTCAGCTAAAGACTTGGCTTCAACTCGCACCACAGGGTCTGTAGTTTTTATTTGCACAGCCTGATACCTTACTGCCTCAATACTTTGGATCCTGCTTTCCCATCTTGTCTCAGTCCATGATTTCAGGGTGATTTTCACATATATTAAAAGAATATCCCACCTTTGGATGGAGGCTTAGAAGAGCTTGAATAATTTTGTCAAATGCTCAAAGTAGCCAAGGGCATCTGGTGAGGTTTTTGCAGCATCAGCTTCTACCAGATTTAAAGCGTGGACACCACATGGGACATAAAAAGCTTTTTTTTTATCCTTCATTATGGCACTGTTGTCATAGGAATAGCCTCTGCAGTCCTCAAATGGGATGTTAAGTTCCTCTAGCCTTTTCAGGATTAGAGATGACAGATGTTCTCCAGTTAACTGCCCTGCCACCAGAAAGCCTAAGAAATTATCTTTTACTTGAGGAATGTCTTCTTGTGACACTATCCTGACTATGAAAGACAGCTGTTCCTTATTACTTAGATCAGGGGTGCAGTCTAAAATTATGGCCAAGATAAAGTACATGACTGCAACATTCACTTGCCATCCTACTGACTTGCTGCTTCATCACTGGATCAAATCTGGCCAAGAGCATCACCTCTATGAGAAAAAGTCCATTGTCTGGTTTGTTTAGTGCTTCTGAGGAACCCCA